TATGAGTTTCCTTTGTCTATTCATGCCTTTGATTCAAAATAACATAATTTCTGAATTCGTTACATAAGTTACTAGGAAGCATTGTCTTGAATGCGAGTATCTGATTGTTTCTTTGTATTCCATAATCAATTTCATTTTGGGATGGATGATCAAGCAGTGGTAATTTATGTTTAAAATTGAAAATATGGAATTCATATGAACCACAAGACATCATGATAAGGGGGATGGTAAATAAAGAACACTTTAATTGAAAAAGGTAACTCTCAGGGAATCAGGATGGATATTTTTGGGATTTACATAAAGTCTTTTTATGTATCTCTTCAGGAGTAGCATCTTTTAATTTTTTAGCAACATTGGCAAGTTTCCTGTTGATTTGAAAAGAACACCCTTGGTGAGTCCAGGTGCGTTCTGGATCATTTTGAGAAGAAAGGGAAGGAGGAGGAGGAGTTGTACAATGTTCAAACTTGGTAGTCTGCCAAACAAGTTCAACAATGCCATCAGATTTTACAAATTCAATCAGATAAGCATGACTTGGAAATAAAAATCCATGACCTAATTCGGAGGAAGGAGGAGGAATGGGCCTTCCAGTTGACTTATCAATATAAGCAAATATACCATAGGTCCATCCATTTAAGCCGTTCTCATCTTGATGGGCTTGGTTGTAGAAATCGTTATATGTGACGGAAACATTTGCAGCAAATTTGAGGTGTTCACGATCTTCATTCTTCATTTCAGTCCACTCCTCCTGAGTCGAATTAGGGATTCCGTATTCTTGCATCAGGGCTTGATTTTCCAGGAAGGCGGTTCGAGAGAGAGCTTCCATCCTGCCAGCAAGGAAGTCGTTGTGGGATTGAAGCTTGGCCCAGTTTGCATTGTCTTCAGCAGTTTGAGCAGGGGTGAGTTTGTTGCGTACATAAGTACCTAGGACAATAATTAATGAATAATCATGAGTATAGCATATGGGATTACTTAGGGCATCATTGGGAAAAAAATGCAATTCAGACATACCTCCAGACTTGCCATCGTCATTTCCTGGGCGGAATCCTATCAGATGCATTTCACCATTGAGTCGTTTGGTATTTTTTTTGTTATGGGGGCAATATCTGGCCATGGCATGGAGCGTTTGGATCACATCGCAGAGTTTGTCAAATATTGGAGTAGATGGAGATGTTTGGAAGGAATGATACTCTAGGATGAAGTGAGGTAAAAGGCCTGAAGAAAGTGCGATTTGACGGGAAGGTTTATCTGTTTTAGGCAAGTATTGAATTGGTTTGTGGGATACTTTTTCTTCAGAAGGGGAGCAGAGAAAGAAATATGTATGCTCCGTAGAGCCGAATTTTCTTTTGAGACTAGCAATCTTCTTTGCAGTGCCAGTTGGATATTGAGGCGGAGGGTTGCGGGGCTTTGATGTTCGAATACCATGATCCGGATGTCTAGGTTTACGATTCCATAGCGGCTCATCATCCTCACTTTCATCATCCTCACTTGACGCACTGACCACACATGACCCACTTTCACCCTGATGGTTGCCGGCCTTGCGCCGAACAAGCAAATCAGGGCTTCCATGTGCCAAGGGGCCCTTGCTTTGAGTGGATGAGGCACGGACCACACATGGCCAACTTTCACCCTGATGGTTGCCGGCCTTGCGCCAAACAAGCAGATCAGGGCTTCCATTGGCCAAGGGGCCCTTTTTGAGGCTGGGGTTGGCATTCAGGAGTTTTCTTCGGGCATTTCTGGTCATTTTTGTGGGTCTGGGTGTCTGAAGTTGGTCTTTGGTTGCTACCCTGCTTAACAAGAGGAGGGGGTGAGGTTGGTCAGCTTGACGCACCACCTCCTCTCCGCCACTACCATCCTTGATGGTAGTGGCTTTGAAGGACAATCAGATAAGAAAAGAATGGCCAACCAAGTTGGCTGTGCTTTATCCTACCAAAAATCCCCTATGAACCACGATCCAGTGGATTGTTTCGCCTGCTACCCTGACACAACCAGAAAGAGGGGGGGGGTGGTCAGCTTGAGGCCCCCTCCTCCTCTGCAGCCACTATCCATCATGGATGGCAGTGGCTGCAAGGCTACCAATCCAAAAAAGAGGGAGGAATGGGGTCAGCATTGGCCCTCAGCCACTACCATCATCTGAGGCAGTGGCCAAAGAGCAATCACGATTCAAGGAAGAGCAGGGTAACTTACTAGCAGGAAACAGGTATGGGGGGGGACCAAGGACCAGGGGGAGCTGCTGGGATGAAGAGGAGGTGTTCAATTGATGGTTGATCAGAGGCCTTTGGTATTTGGAAATAATGAGTGGTTGAGGTGAGGGATTGAGAAAAATTCTCATCTCAGATTAGAAGAAATATCCAGCACTGGGCTCAAACTTATCACAAGTCTCCAGCTGCGGCGGGCGCATCTGGCAGCGTAGCGCTGGCCAGGCGGTTCCCAAAGGGAACTCCCCGCAGGGGAGACTTGGGCCAGAGGTCGATGAACTCAGGTGCTGAGTTTGGATTGTTTTGGTGGGAGCGTCACAAGATTTGAAATCCTGACGCTCCCTCAAAACTTTGGGGATGTTTGGTCTCAAATTTTCAAAGACCTGCCTGATATTATTGATCAGGCCAAATTTCAAAGTTTTAAAACCGCAAAAGGAATTCAAAATGATTTTCTAAAATTCCAGTCTGCAAATCCTCCTGGGGGTAGACTAACTCATCGGACAAACTTTTGTATGTCAAAAACCTTAAGAACATAAATTAGATAATTGACAAACAAAAAAAAAATAGCCATATCACCTGACATAACCTCAAAAATACAGCCTCCAGTCAAAACTCAACAAGTCATCACTTAATCAAAAACCCTCAATCTTGTCGACACTAAACGTCCGGTCGATACAAAACAGAGGAAACCGATCGGGATTCGTATCGATCATTCTCCGCGAAGACAGATAACACACATCGGTTCGTTCTTTGTTTGTAAGGTCTGGGTCAAGATACCTCAAACAACACTGACCATTTTAAATCCCATGCACATTCGAAACGGAACCGTTCAAAAGGATTTGGCTCTTTCGAAACGGAGCCGTTCAAAAGGACTCGGCTCGTTCAAAAGGATTCACCTTTTTCCGTGTCGTTTGCCCGTTCATTGTCGGCTTGTTCATCCTCGGCCCATTCATTGTCAGCTTGTTCATTGTCGGCTCGTTTGTCGTTGGCTTGTTTGTTGTCGGCTTGTTTGTCGTTGGCTTGTTCGTTGTTGGCTCGTTCAAAGAAAACCTCAGTCAAGACAAAGCAACAGACAGGTGCTTGTTCTCTTGGACAAGACTTCTGTCAAACACCACTCACCTGTTGAACACCGACTCCAATCCTGTTGACCTTCAACACCGATCCTCATTTCCTTTCTTTCATCACTCCATTTCACTCCAGATCTTCCTCAATTCAAGAGTGGGTACCACTATCAACAATCTGACAGTACTCTTCAAGATCAACTTGATTGAATCTAAGTGGTTCATCAAGAGGTGTGTATTCTTTTATTTTTGTCTCTTTCTTTCTCTTGTTGACCATAATAATCTGACCTTTTTCTTTTTGTTTTTATTTAAAGTCTAGTGTGCTAGTCCTAGTGGTGGATTAATACACTTTCCGTGCTTTTCATCCACAACATAGCTCCTGATTTCATCAGGTATTTAATTTATTTATTTATGTACTCTATTTTATTTGTTGTTTTAAATTTTATTTATGCTGAATGCATTATTGTTGTATTTAAATTTTATTTATGCTGAA